GGTGCGTTCTTCTCTCATCATGAAAAGTAATACAACACTATTCATTATTTGTGTACAGCACCTTTGAGCTTTAGAACGTTTAAAGTATTTCATTCTTGTCGCTTCTCTTCATATCTATCAATTGAACTATTATCTGACCCATAAATTATTTTCTTCCTTACCCCTTGATTAGTGCGTCACCTCATTTGTTATTTATTGTCGAATCCATTTATAATGCAATCTTTTCTAGCCTCCTATAGACATATATTTTCCATATAACTATATATACGAATGTACAGCTTAAGTAAATGATTTCGTCGAAAAGAAAATTTTATTCGCTGAATTCTTTTTTTCTTACTCAATGACATTATGAGTTATTTTAGTTATTTCATTCTTCAGATAAATTCGTTAATTTTTATAAAGACTACAAAAGTGGAAAAGGACCCGACTATCACTTTATAATCTTTTGAAGTAATAAATTACTGCCTTTTTTGACTTCAAAATAAATAAAAGTCAGTGATTCCTAAATTTTTGGGTAACTTAATCGTGTGTTGTAGAAGGGAAGTGTAATATATGCTCTTTGTTCAGGTTTTCGGCTAATCTCTAATAACAAAGAACCGACTGAGATATATACTTCAAAAAATAAATGGTTCATTCGATATTCAGCGTATGATTCCAGTATAGCCAATCTTCATGTAGTTAATTATCTAGAAATACGCAGTTTTACGTCCTAGCAAACATCAAGGATTTCGACGCCTTTCAGTTGTAGCAACAGATATCAACCTTATATCGTCTTGGAATAAAGAAAATAGATTATTCAATCGAAGACTATGTTTAAGTAATGTTTGCGTGTCTTTTTAACATAACGTTTACGATAGTTAAGATCAGTGTTCGTAACTCCTGGTGTTACATCTGCCGTAACAGTGAGAACTCTGAGAATCCCTTGATATACTTTAAGTTTTACGCCTGCAATGCAATAATTTCCTTAAATACATAATTTTGATTCATTTCTTATGTGACCTCGCATCCAACTGTTTATCAAGAAATACCTAATGGTGAAACATAACTCAGGATTGTGGTTATATTATGCTAGAGGCAGATTCAAATTGAATGACTTAAGAAGCTCTCTTATACATCTCAATGTTAATATAAGTGATACGTTTGTTTGAAATGTAAAGCATACCGACATTTAATAAAATCAAAAATGTTGTGATTCGTTCAGACAAGCTACACCATTGTACGGGAAAGAAAAACTGAAAGTCCGTTCCGCTCATTTATACAAATGTTAAGGCTCAATGTTACCAAAAATCACCAAGAGATCGAAGTTTCAAAAAATGTAATCCACCTAACAGAACGTATGATCGACACTTGTGTTTACAGCACTGGTTACTTATCGTATACTACTGATATTATTATAAATTATTTTTTGTCTCTTCTTTTCTGTAATTAAAACATATGTTCATTCATCAACGCCAAATTACTTTTAGCGTAGACTTTTATTTGACTTTTAAACATATAACTGCAACACTATCGTTACTACTTATAAAAGAACTTCATAATCTTCTCCTAAGTTACAAACCTTCTCACAGATAAGTAACCGTCTTGGTACGTTAACGTTGCAAAAAAAGTGTTACCATGATAGCTTTTATAACTTAGGTAAATTGCCATGCTAGGTATTCAACTGTTGTTGAGTTGATTCACTGTATGACAATTTTTCCCCACTTCCTTAAAAAATTTCTGAATAAATGTCTAAACTAAGTACATGAACGAGTAATCATCCGGAAAGTAAATCAAGTCCGTTATTCACATTTAAATTTAATCAACGAAATTCAAATAAAAAAAGTAGGTCATTTCTAAGTATTGACTGGATTATGTGCCGTTCGGATTAACAATATTATGTAAGTACATAACTTGATTATTCAATTTCGAGAGATTAATCTAAGATGTTAGTCAGCTAGAACGTAGGACCATACACATATATGCATCGGTCCAAACTGCCATACCTCATTAGCACAACAAGATGAACACCGAATTCATAAAAGTGGTTAATTTAGTGGTGGTAATATATAAAAGATAGGTTGTATATAAGGATATAGCACAGAAAGAAAGAAAGATATGAAGCAATTTTAATCTCAAGGTTTAAGGGAAGATAAAGAGTGTATACACCTACGCCATTGTGATCAATTCTGAGCCATGTCACTCAGAGCCTCTAAACATTGGTTAAGATCGTCACGCGGACCCCTACCAAGTAGTCTGCATCTACCAACATGGCTCAGACTAGAAGTTAGTGACTTCATGCACTGATGCCACGTTTTGGTTTGACCGCCCCTAAGTCTCTTCCGACCATCGCCATTACTAGTCAGCATTGCGCGTCGTGGTAATCGATGTTCAAGCATACGTAACACGAGGACCAACCATCTCTGTGCCCAGCAAGTACTCGTTATACCTTTAATTTGCGTCGGATTATCTGTTGGGATCTCGACAGAATAACTCCAATAGGCTTTGACAAGCTTGAGTGATGCTGCCTGAATTATGTTCATTCAGTATACTTCAGGAAAACTTAGGAAATTAACGGTCTATGTATGGAAATCTGTTTGGACGACAAATTACCACGACATATAACGTTTAGCGGGAAATAAATATATAAAATAAGTATTTCTGTAGATCTCCGACATTGATGCCGACCTCATTAGCATGACTGGACAAGCCCTAGCTGAAGGCGATCGCTAACGTATTCACACCAGAACATGGTTGAGTACGCCGTGTTGCTCATCCTCTGTAACTGCTAACAGACATAGACCGAATGTTCCCCTACATATCAATAAGTTTCCAACTATATCTTGGAATTCTCTTTATTCTGACTTCTGATTTGACTGGGTTGGTACCCTTGGATTTACATGGCGTGACGTGTGAAGGCGTTTTCAAACTCCAAACGCTTATTGAATCTTTATACGCTGCATGTCTATATACGTTTCCGGAATTTTCTGTTCAAACTGATGAAGACATAACGAAAGTCTCTATTTTCAATGTCACTGATTTGTTTGAACTCAATGAAAATTCATGAAGTAGCATTTCTCTACATATACCTCCAACTCCTATCTAACGATAAATCCAAAATCTCAATATCCATGAACTTAAATTTCACTTTGATATTGAGTATAACAAGAGAATAATGGTAAAAGTTTTCTTAACAAAGCTTCTATAGTTAGGTTACTGAAGTCAAGGGATCAAAAGGTAGTTAAAAGACTTTATGATCAAGGCGGAAAATTTTAATAAACTTAAATAATTTGTTATAAGGTTTCATCACGTTTTTTAAAGGAATGAAATGTATTAGACAAAACCTATCTGCTGCACATTTATAGCTATGGTACACTGCAAATTATGTGTCATTTCGACCTCTAAATTTCTCCCTCCATAGAGCCAGGTCACCGAATCCTCAATCGTCTGCCACCTTCTCCATAAGCGAATGGATAAGTTACTCAACAAACATAACACTGGATAAGATAAGGCCTTCTAGTTTGTCTAACCTGTTCACATTACATGGAACTGTTATGATCAGTTTTATTTTGCCAGCTGTACTTATGATACGGGATCGTCATCTGAATTTTCTGTGTGAAATATGATTATGAGCTCCATTAATATGTTTCTGATTCTGTAGGCACTGATAAAACAGATACTTATGTCTGTACGAAACTTCTTTGTGTGGCATACAGTGACATCAATACTCCTTGTCTTCAGGCCGTAAACATGCAAAAATACATTAAAATCAGAAACGCCTTATCGGTTTCAAGAGCGTTCATTTACTTCTGCTCCCGTGAACTACTTATCAAGACGATCAGAGATACTGAGATATACGTGGGCATTGATTTATGTTCCATCCTGTGGGCATGCACTCATTGATATGAAGCTATGTTCAGCGATGGAATTGGGAGTTTCTTAATAAAGCTTTAAATCATTTAAACGGTGTGATTCTGACTGTCTTCCTGTTTTACAGAGCTTATAGATACTGACACGAGCTGCTTTTAATGGTAGTTGGTAGTTAACTAGAAACTTGATATCTTCTGGATTATATCCAAACAATCCGATGATTATGTTTCTTTCAACAAACTCCCGCCTTATTTGCTAGGTATAGACAGTTGAGTTATGTTTTTAACCGCCGGCTTGTTTATCGAAATACAACACCACGTCTCTGTTATATACCAACTAAAATTTTCGTATAAAAGCCATACATGTTTTCAGATATTGGGTTCTAGTGTGAGTTGGTTTACATTACAATATATTGCGAGGTACGAAATCTGAACATTTTGATCTTTTTGTCACTTTTCAAAAATGGAAGATGCAAAAAGAAGTTGAAATTATTGTGAGATCAGAGATCATGCATTCAATAACCTATTTCAAATTAATTGCTGTAGACTCTCTATCATATTAGTTGCTGTTTGTTTGAATATTCAACTTTTTTTTGTCCCTTAAAGGTCAAACGTTAACCTAGGTTACATTTTCAAAAAATCAGTATCGGGGAACATGTTAATGTGTGGATTCTAAATAAGTCATCTGAATTCTCCCGGATAATCGACAAACGAATAGAGCAAATAAAAGATATTAAAAAAGTGACTTGTAGTATATTATTCATTTTTAAAATGTGTCGGAATATAATTCTTCGTTGTTCAGTATTTTTAACAAAGTCTCAATGAGTTCCTAGTTAACACTTAGTTGCTTATAAACAAGTTGTTTGCAGTATCAGAAATTTTCACAATCGACGTTCACATTGCTTGAACTGGAAAACATGACTTCCTACCCAATAATTAGACCGTTTTCTTTGTTGTTGAAATAATAGTTTTACACAAACCACAAGGAATATGACCACACGCAACCCATAGGCTAAATAATGTTTGTCCTCTGATTAAGGGAAAAGTATTCTTGCTAGTTCAATTCCTTCATTTAATTCAAACAATTTTCAGTCTATATATACAACAGATACATTTACAAAATATATCAGAGCGGATCTTCCATTAAGCTCCAAAATGTTTGTCACTTTGCATTATGATTCCCGCAGCATGAGTCACAGTCTCTTATCAAATCATAGAAATTCTGCTTCAGTTGAAATCAGTACTGATTCTCCTGTTCAGAAGCCAAAAGAAAACAAAAAGAGTATATACAATTTGGTTGCAGAATCGAGCAAGTTCATAGTTGAAGGAAATGAAAATAATGATAACTACCCATCCTCAGCTCACAGATATACGGTGAATTTTTCGAAAGTATGCTCTAGCCAAGTAGGAGCAGAACATATGGATTATTATGACTTTGAATACAGAGATTCGGGTGCATGTTTTTATAGAAACTCGATTTTCAGTTGTGGTGAGTTTTAATTACATGTAGCTTTATGTCACTGAGGACACTGTTTTTGTCTGTTTTTTTGGCTTAATTTAGGTACTATAAACTCAGGAAATGATGTTTCCTTTATCTTCATTGATTTAGCAATAAAAATTTTGGTATTGCTCAAAACAAGCTCATACATATAAGTTAGGATTTTATATCTCTATTTGATCTATTGTTTAGTGTTAAAATTTACGACAGTCAGTCATTTTGCTCTGAAGGTTCTACAACTCCTTAATAAATGTGATTATTAGGTGTAATTGAATTATTGTATAAACTTGGAATCCCAGAAATAGCGCAATTTAATCAAAAAGTACTAGATGAACACGAACGAATATATTGTATTTGGAATTCGAAACCAAGTAGTTATCAAGCATAAAGGAATCATTGTTTGATATAAACACCACAGTATATTTTGGAAATTTTTTGTTCAAACGTTTTTTAAAGTCACCAGTTCAGATCCGCAAGGGTGATTTGTTAATCTTTCATGTGATACAACATTCAAATAACGTAATACTGTACGGAAAATACATTGCACATCGTGCTATAAATAAGCAGAATATTCGTAAGAATAATCATTCCACAAAGCATATAGTGAGGAAATTCGATGCAGTAAATATGTTAACAATGTATTTGCTTAATTAGTTCATTTCAAAATCTTTCAAATGTTTGATCACAAATTTACAAAACGAAATTTGTGCATTTGGTCTCTTTTGTTATGGTGAAGGTAACTTGATCAAAGATTTAATCAGAATAAAATAACATTATTTACTTCATAAGGTTCTCATTGGTCACCTTAAAATACACAATGTTTTCCAGTGAAAATCATCCTACAGCCACCATACAGGGAAGTTTGGTTGGATGTGTGTATGCATCACCATAGTGTAATTGTAATTCAGACAATTTTATTAAGATTAAGGAATTTTACAATGAATTGCAAACAGCCAAGAAGAACCTAACGGCATTAAAAGAGATCAGTCCGTTGTTTGTAAATTTGTATTCGTGCTCTATTGAAGATAAACTTTAGTTCTATCATTCTTATCACAATGAAGGATAACTATAATAACTTAGATTTTTTGGCTTTAATGCAAACTAAACATGCAAACTAAACACCCAAAAATCCATAAATTTCAGTTTTTAGCCATCATAGAATGTGAAAATCTGTTACCCGTTCTACATAAGAAATAAATCTTTTGGAAGATGTCTTATTCAAGATTCAGCTGAGGCCAACCACCTCAATAGCCTTTTTCGTAAACATCCTGTGTCCGTACAATTAACGAAAATATAACTTCTCATTACATTGCAAACTAGTGTTTTAAAATTCAAAAAATAAGAAATTTGTTTCCTGTTAGACAAACCATTTAATCCATAGTATTGTTTCAAAATATTCAAAGCAGTGACCACATTGAGTTTTAAGATTCTTGACCATTTTACCAAGTGACTATGAATGAATACTTACATTTCCAAATTTCATCTTTAAGAGTGGTTTACTAACCTGCATATAATCATTGTTATCACATCGTTTTTGTTGTAATTTCTGCCTCTATTCATACGTGAAATGGAAAAACGCTTTTACATTTTGACGCGAAAAATTGGTCATCTTAGAAATTATCTGTGGATAACCATGATGTCTTTTTTATTCGTGCAAAGTTGTTACAAAAAATGCAATAATAAGTATCTTTTCACTAGCCACCGAATGGACAAGTCATGGCAAGTGCTTAAAATAATTAAAGAGTTAGAAAAAAGAAGTGAAAGTGCTAATGCAATGGCTGAAAGTAGATGAGTAAATCCATGGTAGATTGTTGCTTGCTATCACCAGGGTGATAGCTGGGACCGCCAAATGTTCACGCTTCGAGAAATGAGTGTCTTAAGTCGTTTGTGTCTCTGGCTGTGATTTTTGGATCTAAGGTGAAACGTCAAATGGCTAGTGGTTGATATCCGTGTTTCTGTAGAGTTCAAATTTTAGAAGTTCTTAAAGTTTCAAGATGTCTTTGTATGATGTGCTCAAAGTAGAAAATATCCATTTTATAGCGGCTCATAGGCTATCTGAACCATTCAATAATTAATAGAGTAATCAAAACTGTTGGTTAGGAAGACAACTTAACAAATACTGATCTGAACTCAGATACTGCCGTATAATTACTTTATTTTTTAAAATCCAACTATAAGAAAGAAAAAAGAACGTACAGTGAGTTAAGTAAATTTTTGCAGACGTTTTGTTCATAGTGTCTCGACAATTAGTTGTACCTCAAACAAACTTAGTAATAGTTTTTCTTGTAGTTTATCGGGTATTAATACTCAGAAATATTACTAAAACATGAGAAAATTTCGAAATAGAACATCTAAAATGAGTCTACACCTCTTTATACATAAATGAAATAATTATAGGCCAACTTATTTAATTAATGAGACATATGCTATTTTCGCTCATTTTCATCGTTTATACTCTTCAGGTGATCAGCATCAAAATTGGTTCGGTATTATTCCTAATGATGGGGCAATAGCAATAAGTCTAGTGAAAACGTCAATATATTTCAAATCAAATTACGGTACATCACCATCAGAAGATAAGCAATCGCATTCAAACACCGCTAATATTTCCTGTAAAGAGAGTAACTGTGATAAGAATCTACCAACATTTGACAAGCAGACTGAGAGTAAAAATCCTGGAACAAACATGAACTATTTACCAGCATGGTTAGTAATAGTTCGACGTGAACAAGTAAGCCGTGAAAAGTTTTTATTCCAAATCATACTACAAACTTAAGTAGAATGTTCTGTAAAAGATTGGTTCGTGCTAGTTACTCTAAATATGAAATTCCCACTTTTTATCTTTATTTCAAACCCAATTTTTATGCTAATAACGGTAATTATGCATATATAAAGCTTCTCAAGTTTGCCATATCTACCGCCTGCACTTCAACTTATTATCACCTCGCTTTTATTATTAAGTAACATTTATGAATGCAAAAATGACCGAATACTGATAAACTACATATAGGTCCAATAAATTTCTGGGAATCTCATGGTAAATGTTGGATAAAATGACAACACCAGTCTTCTGCATGAGACTGTAATCTTTCGTCGATCCAATCAGATTTAAAACAACAACGTATGGATTTTGAAGTAAAATTCATTCATCCATTTAGCTAAATAGCGTTTCGGCTGTTTAACTGCTCTCAGTTTTTGGTGATGGAAATTCTAAATTTAGTTTCGAACACCAACCATCAGCTACAAATCATAATCTCAATTCCTACCACCAGCATATTGTCCTCATTTACCCTAATTGGTAAATGGACATTCTCAAGGTCACTTTGGAATCGCTCATATGTCGTCCAACTGCCACACTACATTTCAACACAGTGTACGTAACGTCAAGTTACTTAAACTAGTGACCATATTACAGCTTTCACGATAGAAATCTACTTGTATTTGGTTATTTAAATAATCAGTGCATCTTTATTTTTATATGAAATATAAAATTAGCTAGTCTCAGACAATATATCATCTTTCATTCTAACTGGATCAAATAGAGTCAGCCATTTATGTTACAGAGTATATTAACGAATCGGTTTGAGTTTCAACTAAGTAGGACTATTTAAATACTTATCAGAAGACGAAGAGACTACAATTTATGGACGACATATGAGCGATTCCAAAGTGACCTTGAGAATGTCCATTTACCAATTAGGGTAAATGAGGACAATATGCTGGTGGTAGGAATTGAGATTATGATTTGTAGCTGATGGTTGGTGTTCGAAACTAAATTTAGAATTTCCATCACCAAAAACTGAGAGCAGTTAAACAGCCGAAACGCTATTTAGCTAAATGGATGAATGAATTTTACTTCAAAATCCATACGTTGTTGTTTTAAATCTGATTGGATCGACGAAAGATTACAGTCTCATGCAGAAGATTGGTGTTGTCATTTTATCCAACATTTACCATGAGATTCCCAGAAATTTATTGGACTTAAATGTACCTAGGATACATCATAGATGATCAAGGAGAGGATTCGATGTAGATGTGAATGCAAGGATTGGCAAGGCAACGTGAGGCGATCAATTGGATAACATATGGGCCTGAAACAAACTGTCAGTCAGCATCAAAATTAAATTCATCAGTATGAATGTAAAGATAGCTCTGAAATATAGTGCTGAGGCTTGGAGATATCCTATGACCGTTATCATAAAGGTTCAGATATTTACAAACTATTATCTATTCAAGTTACTGAATATCTATCGACACCATCGACAACAACCTACTATTAGAGGAAACAAAACCATCTTCAAGCTAAAGAAGAAATCAGGAAAAACCGTTGGAAGTGGATAGGACACACAATGAGGAAATTATCAAACTTCATCACGAGGTAAGACCTAACTTGGAATTGTTAAGAAAAACAGAAAAGAGGAAGGTCGAAGAACACACTTTATCGAGAATTGGAAGCAGAGACGAAAAAGATGAATAGCAACTGGAAAGGATTGCCCTAGGACAAGTTTGGAAGGAGAGTGCTGGTGGGTGGCCTATGCTCCTTGACGAGGGGTAAAAGGCGTCAGTAAATAAGTAAGTATTATTATTTCAGATTACATTTAACCAATCTCTTGAAACAATTGAACATTATGTTCATCGAAACCTTACTCTTATTTAACATTTTATCTAAAGAATTATTTAGCTAAAATGGTTATCTTTCAGAACTAGTTAAAATGAACAAATAAACATATCTAGTAGAGTTTTCACCTTATAGCATTAATTTATCATAACTACTACAAATTAATTGAAACCTACATAAAAGACAATGTTCTATTATGCTGACAAAATCTTATCCATAAATTTACAAGTTAGATATTGTATTTGTATCCGACTGTTTATTACCAACCATAAGGTAATAAACATAATTCTTTTCAAAATGGCTCATTTACACTTTCTTTCTATGGTTTAATTAGTGCACTATGCATTATATGTAATTAGTAATTATTGATTATTTTGAAAGTAAAATGAAAAAAAAAATCGTCTTCATAAATAACTCAGTATTAAACATGCATACTTTTATTTCTATTTATTTGTCACATCTCTTATTTTTTGATTCTGTATCTATGCAGTTCACGAGTAAAGAAACATGTGAGCATAGTAATTAATTGTTTATGTATTGTAAATGAAAACAGGTACAAACAAATAAACATGATCATCTCTCTATCTCTATCTCACTGTCTCTCTTAAGGTAATAAGAAAGTTGAATGAATGACAGATTAAAGGTAAATGATTGAGTTCAGTACAAAACGACAATTGAAGTGTACTAATACTTAGGGTGTTTTGTTTTTATAACTAAATGATGAATAATAGGACAAAATGTCAAGTTTGTAAACAGATTTTTCTATTTTGTTATGACATCAAATGAATAACTAGAATACCTGGTGAACTAGAGAGAGCAAAATGAAAATCGACATATAAAATTGTTTGTCATAGGACACAAACTTTCCGATTCAGTCGCGAATTGTTAAGTGTCCTTACTGTGAATCAGCTTGGAGAACGTTTTAAAATTAAGAAGCGTTGAAGTGCTGTATCCTCCTATCCTAATATAGATTGAATATAACACGTTAAAGTCTTCCAATGAGTAAATTCCTGAAGAGTTATTTGGACGAAATCTAATTCATGATAACGTACGGTAATTATCCTGTTCCATCTGCATTATTTGTCTGTAGTTCAGTACTACTAAATTAGATCGATCATGGCTTCTATTACGAACATGAAAAATGTAATACCAAGCTAGTTACTAGTGAGTAAATGATATGAATCAGAAAGACAGATTCATGTCAACTGTTCACTCTGAGGTAAGTCTTAATCATACATTATTGCTAATTATGAAGAGAAGTTAAATCTTAAACTTACCTGACAGAAATGCCAATGACTGAGTATATAGGATTTGAACAAAGTAGTTCATGACCTTTTATCTTTGGTATCTTTAACACAAAGTCTATTAAATAAATCTCCCCTAAAAATTACAGCAAAATATAGTTTCTTTGGTAACAGAATGTTTGATTACCAGTAAAAAATATATACTTTGTGACAACCTAAATCTTTTTCATAACTCTTTTTGATAACTACTTACACAGCAAAAGTCTACTGCTATTCCTTATAGTGCTAGGCGATACTGGCTAAATTTTATGAAACATCATCCTTTTTCTTTAATAATATCCTAAGATCTTAGATACAAATTAGTAACACTTTACGGATACCTATAATGCTTGGAGACGTTGAGCAACACTGTCCAAAACAGTCAGAATTACTGAGGCGTATTCATTCAATATACATTAGCTAATCCTTAACTAAATATCATTTCACACATTCAAACTTCGATTTTGTTAGTTACGTCTTCATTAAAGCAAGTCATAATGTAACTCAGTAAATTGACACGTTTCGTTTACCCTAAATATATGTTTACACCATGCCGTTTGACTTGATGGTATTCTAAGTTAGTCAAAATCAATAAGATGAATTATGTTTACTTATATGTTACCTGTATTGATTGTTGATGTGACACTAAAGGGGAATACATGTTCAATTTGGTTATGATTCAACTAAATCAGTTAATCAATCATAATCAACATAGAGCATAACATGCATGTACATTAGTTTAAACTGTCATACCACATTACCACAACATGAAAAAACTGTGAAGATGTGAAGCAGAGGAAACAATGTATTGTAATAAGAATGCCAATAAAAAAGACTGGATATTGAGAGTATAATTTAAAGAAACGAATTGAAAAGATACATATGAAGTAATACTGAAAGAGATTATTTGAAGCAATATAAAGAATGAATGCATTTTCTCCATGATGACTGATAGTGAGACATATCGCTCAGCATCTCCAACAATTGCCTACGACAATCTCGATAACCTCAACTACGTAGTTAGCACCTACCAACATACCATAGACTAATATTGACTGAAGTCCTAAATTATTGAGACGTATTGTTAGACCATAAACTCCTCCTAAATTAGCTCATATCGCTCATGGTAGCAGGTAATGAATAAGTACGTGTAAAAATAAACATGAATTATGAAGTTTCTTTATATACCGAAATTCTGAAATTCATTTGTATTTAATTCCAACAATCTAATTTCAATTTAACTTTATTTCTATTATCTACAGGGTTCAGATCTACGTGGTTGTGTAATTAATAAAAGTTTAATAGAAAACAATAAATCTATATCTTCATTAATCATAACTGAACCTAATATAAACAATCCTACTATTCATACAAGTAATAACAGTTTATCATCAGGCATCATCACAACGAATCTTACCAATGATAATTCCTCAATAACAGAACCATCACTGAAGACAAGTTTATCAACAACAAAATCTATATCATTATCATCAATGAATACAACAATAACTACAAATACATCAAATATTTCCCAACTAATGATGATGAAAAAAAAATTAATCAAGAAGAATTCAGTAAAACTAAATGATTCTTTATTCAATGTTACTGATGAACAATTAGTATTACAATATTTAGTAAACAATGATAATGTTATGGATTATTTAAAACCTGGTGTACCAGATAGAACAGTTTATGAAAAATTATTGAAATTAGATGAAATGGAAGTAAGTAATTTTTTATAATGATTAGATCAATTCATTTGTACTTTGTTATAGTGTTCAATGTTTAAATTTGAATATCCATACATGGAATAAATAATATAAATGAAACGTTTAGAAGCAGTAATATAAGAGAACATTTGTTAGCCATCTTGTGAACTAAAATAGTCTTGATTAAGAAGTTAGTGTGATATCGGCTACTTACATCCACATAAGTAGTATATGAGTGATGGTCAGGCATAGAATGTATTTTGACAGAAGATCGATAAGGAAAGAACAGGAACGAAGCACGATTGGTATGCTAATGCATAAACAATGAAACCAGAGAAGTTGGACTAATATTTACAGAAAGAACGGTCAAGATTGAGACAATTGATTGTTATTTTGCACATTAACTGTTTAATGCATGGTTATCAGATTTTAGTGAGATAGTCTGTAGTTTCTGTTTCCAAATGCATTCGATTATCCCCACCCGTGTTCTTGTTCACTGCAGTAATATACACGATAGATAAAAAATCAGCTAATAATTTTTGAAGATAAACATATTATGAATGGTAAGTTGGTTCTTAGATAGGAACAAATAAACTAATCAATACATTAAATTCACTTGCTATTGTTTGTATGAATCTTCCCATCGACTTTGTTAGGACTGCAACTAGTCAGTCTCTAATTGGCATATGTGCATACTGTGCGTATTGCCTCGATATACCTTAATTCACAAGCATGGTTAGCAAAGATGGATAGTGGCTAGCAGTGGAATCCAGGACGCGCGTTTCGTCCTATTCGAGACTCGTCAGCTGGATGTACCTGCATCTCAGAGTTGATGTTCACTCTGGGACTCGAACCCAGTACCTTCGCTTCAAACGCAATCGCGTTATCCACTCGGCCACTGAGTCCTGATAGCCACCCCATCTCACAAGCACAAGGTATATCGAGGCAATACGCACAGTATGCACATATGCAAATTAGAGACTGACCAGTTGCAGTCCTAACAAAATCGATGAAAAGATTCAAACAAGCAATACCAAGTGAATTTAAACTTCACCCCATCGCACAAGGAAGTGGCTATCAGGACTCAGTGGCCAAGTGGATAACGCGATGGCGTTTGAAGCGAGGGTACTGGGTTCGAGTCCCAGAGTGAACATCAACTCTGAGATGCAGGTACATCCAACTGACGAGTCCCAATTAGGACGAAACGCGTGTCCTGGATTCCACTGCTAGCCACCATCCATCTCTGTTGACCAAAACGTGTACTCCGACATACCTATAGCTTGTGCAAAAAAGTTATCTTCAAATGCGTTTAGATAAATTTCAAGGGATAAAGCTAAGATTATTCTTATTGAAATTCATAAAGAATATAATCAGTTTCCAAGAGGTCCAGGTAGTTTCTTTTTTTTACCAATATGTGTATAATGTATGATATTACTAGATTAAGAAAAAGAGAATTTAGCAAAGAAACTTATCATTACGATGAAATCATTTACTTAAGCAGTAAACTTGTGTATGTATTTATATGGAAAAGATATGTCCATAGGAGGCAAGGAAAGATTGCATCGTAAATTGATTCGAGAATAAATAACAAATGAGGTTACATACTAATCAAGGGGTAAGACGGAAGATAATTTATGGGTCAGATAATAGTCTGATTGACAGAGGAAAAGCGACAAACACAAAGGTCACAATAATAGAAAAAAAAGAAAATTTTCTTCGCTGAATTCTCCTTTTCTTATTCAATGATACTATGGGTTGTTTTAATAGTCCCACAATAGGACGAAACGGCCGTCCAGGGCTTCTAGGTTTTCCATGGTGGTCTAGCTTCAATTGACTCGTGATTCCAACTATATAAAATCACTAAAATCTTCATAAAACGCCCTTCTGATAATAGACTAATTGATAGTTTTCTATAACAAACATATCTACTTCAATTGGATAGTTAATAACTGACTTTTATGAATTATATGTTTTATTAATATATATGTTTATTCAGTTTCATGAGTATTAGGTACGTAAATTTGAAAAATATGACCTAAAACATACATTAAACATAAATATTTTTCACATAATTTGAAAAAAATAGCATCCACCATGAAAAACCTGGAAGCACTGAACGGCTCAGTGATCTAGAGGTTAAGTGTTCTAGTGCGAGACTGGTAGGTCCGTGGTTCGAATCTCGCGAGGCGAGGTCCTGGATGCGCACTGCTGAGGAGCCCCATAATAGGACGAAACAGCCGTCCAGTGATTCCAGATTTTCCGTAGTGGTCCAGCTTCAAATGATTCATGATCTCAACTATATAAAAATACATTTTAGTTGAAAGTCGATTCGAAATGCGAGATACAAGTAAACATCAATAAGGTAGTTTTATTCAAAAAATAAAAAGAAATACACTTTAGAATTACACAATTCAACTATATTTCTCGATTTTCATCATAATTTTTAAAAATCATCATCATAGGGTTGTGGATATTGTTAAGTTTCAATTATTATCATGAATGAATGAATGTTAGATCAACATTGAAAACCTGGAAACACTGGACATGTGTTTCGTCATAGTATTGTGGACAGTAGCACAATATCGTGCATTGGTCTAAGGTAAACATTAACACCGTTGGGTACTGGCTCAGTGGTCCAGACGTTAAATATTCCCCTGTGACACCAAAGGCTCCCACGAATGGGTTGGTGGATGCTCACTGCTGAGTCGAATACTAAGACAAAATGGCCATCCAGTGCTTCCAGGTCTAACATTCATCCATTCATGATGTCAATTGAAGTTTTTCAAAAAAACAATAGAAAACAAAATGAGGTAATCAGAACTTTTCTCTCATATATTACATGGATTATTTTAACAAAAGCAAAAAAGTATCACGGATTTGTCTAATAGACTTACTACTTGCCAACAAAAAACCCATTTATATATATTCGTTTGTTGATTGATTTAAAAGTCACGTTTCTGTAATTTTCTTTTACAAATTTTCAAGTGGTAACGTAATTCTAATTTTTCTTTTTTGAATTCAATTTCACTGTCATCTATTATATGAAAGAAAGTAAGTAGATTAGATTGAATAAAAAAAAAAATAAACTTGGCAATCTTATGAAAGTGATTAAACGAAGAAAAAAAAGACAATCATAGAATTAGAATGACACAAAACATATTTTCATCATCCGTTGAAAACTATGACTTGATTGTCAGTGCAATATGTACACCACTTGTAATTGTTTTTTTGTGTTTTGTTTTTTTGTAACATCAATAATTGGAGGAAAATTTTTTTTTCTTTAAAACGAAAGTAGTATTTAAATGATTTCACTAGTTTAAATGGGTTTATTTATTTATTTATTTAAACACATAAATATTGGTACAAGGAAGCACCAAATACATATGTGCCGCACAAATCTCATTCGATTTGTGTGAGGGATGTGATACTGCCCATGTGCCCAAACTGAAGCACGTGGTTTTCCTAGGGGGTCACAACCGGAGCTTTTGACTTAAAGATATGATCCACAAGGCAGTGGAGCATCTTAAGGAGATGCAGTCCCATGGAAGCCGGTGACCAACGATTGATTCACACGCCATTTGTTCCCTCAAGATACTGAAGCCCATGTGCACCATTGATTTGGAATCAGGGTTTTCCAACTCCCCTAGGTGGACTCGCTGTGTCCACCAACCCGGTTAGAGCACCAGACATTCACTTTTCGTTCTCTCAATTTCGTAAACAACAGCAGTGCCACGAGAAGGCATTGAGTAGGACTTCCCTGTCAGAGGCTATGTAAGCGTGACGATGTTAGAGAATTTGGAGAGTAAGAGCGGACTCTCTCTACTCTCGGTCGTACCAGGGCATTTGGTGACGGAGTAAAAATATAATATAAATGTGACCAGATTTTAGCTGACTTTTACCATGTTCAAATTGATGGAGTTAACTAATTGTAGGATGTGAGCTATGTACACAATGATAACATTAGACAAAAAATTGCTCTGTATTACATAACGGTCAAAATTCAAAATGAATAATGTTGAATCAATATTCAGTAGTTTAAGATTATGATTTCCTCTTCTCTTGAAATTAACACGTCATGAATTTGATCAAACATGCGCTTATGATGAAGGTACTGTTGAAGAGTCCTAAACCGAAATAAGACAACAATGATACTTGGTATTGAATGGTTTTTCTATTTGAATATCGATCAATTTAACTATAAGAGATAGTATAAAATTATATTTGGTTTTTTGATACAATACAGTCCAGTAGTTGTATTCAAATTGCATGACCTGTAATTATTAACTACTTTATATGTTTCAGTGAAACTATTTGTTAGACTTGATAATTAATATAAACAATTCATGTTTATTCACGTATTTTAATTTATATCTGTTTTAGAACTAGAAGTCACATTATAGTGTGTGACACATTCCATGTCTATTTAGTTTTTAATCTAGTTGTAAGACATATCGACCAACAGTTTTATGATAAACACCATAACTGATCTAATTCTAAAGTTTGGTTAACTTATTAATTGTCTACTTTCAATGGACAACACTGTTATTAAAATGTCAACTTGATTATGAAACAATTAATTTAAAATTGTCTTAGTTTATACGCTAAGTTTTATGATCAAGCATTTAGAAGCTTATGGATATAAGCAAAGATGGATAGTGGCTAGCAGTGGAATCCAGGACACGCGTTTCTTCCTCTTTGGGACTCGTCAGCTGGATGTACCTGCATCTCAGAGTTGATAGATTATGTAATGACTATAGTGTTGTGAGACTCTAACGAAAATAATTTTTTGACCAGTTTTGTTGTTATTTTTAAATCAAGAATTTATTTGGATCAAGAAAAAATGTTGTTATTACTATCCAACCGACAAGGACTTTATATAACAGGGTTACAAATATCCAACGTATATGTAGATGATGTCTAAGGTATCACATTTTATTGGTATATAGCCTTAGGATAGAGTTTTGGTTGAGTTCATGAACTGATAAATGTTAGACCACGTTGAGACACTAGACGGC